TCTCTCCTATACATATAAACTACCATTTAATATAACCTTCTACTTTGATTGACCCACGGGCCTTGTACAGGGTAAACCTTACTGTAAAAAAGAAGCTTTAAATGTGTGTCAAAGTGCTATTTGTCGTAATTGTTCCCGAAATACAAGGCGAGGGAAACAGTAAAAGTAAATCGATATTGAATTGGGTTTTTTGTTGTATGAACGTAAGAGGAGGAGGAGGAGGATGTAAGAAGTACAGCTTATGAGGATATGTAAGAAAGATAAGGGTAACAGTAGATTTTAGAGGTTAAGAACTATATGGATCAGAGAAGTATTGAATAATAATAATAATAATAATAATAATAAGAGTTTCAAATGGGCGTAGAGATGCAATACACCGGCTGACCCTGCAAAATACCTAAAAAAGACAGCAAAGACGAATGCAACCGACCAGATACAGAAGCGATGGCAAGATAAACCGATTCATGGCCAATACTCTGCCCGCACCAAACACGCTGACGTAGACAAAACCCGTACCCATCAGTGGCTACGTAGTGCAGGGTTGAAAGCGGAAACTGAAGGACCAATGCTTGCTAACTAGGAATTATCAAGCACATATACTAAAATATTGTGTCAGCCCAAAATGCAGATTCTGTGATAAATATCCAGAAACGATTGATCATCTTGTATCAGGTTGCACGATGTTGGCACCCACTGAATATAAAAGCCGACCTGACAGAGTGGGCCAATAACTGAAAGAAACTGGTTACGGAGATAGGACCTGTTACAATTCTATGGGATTACACAATACACACTGACAGAACAATCAAGGCCAACCGCCCAGATATTGTTATTAAAGACCACAAACAAAAACGGTGCCTGCTTATTGATATGGCAGTCCCTGCTGACTGCAATGTATCTTTGAAGATATTCAAAAAGTTGTCAAAATACAAGGACCTTGAAATAGAAATCTCGAAAATGTGGCATATGGGAACATCAACAATCCCTGTTGTAGTTGGAGCCCTAGGACTGGTTGGAAAAGATTGCAGTAGACTAATTGAAGGGATTCCTGGAAGTCCATGCCTCAAGGAGATACAAAAATTTGTTCTGACAAGTACAGCCCACACATTACGAAGGGCTTTATCTATGGAATTTTTTTTTTTTTGGCAGTGGAAAGTGTCATGATGCCATTTCTAACTTTAGGTCCCTGGGCGGGACCCGGAAAGAAATGTATAAACGCCAGAAATCAAAGAAAATTTATTATTGTTATTATTATTATTAATAATAATAATATTTTTTTTCAATTGGTCAGTTGATGACATGTCTGACCTTATGTAACTGGGCGGGAATATGCAAGGACTACTGAAATAGAAAGAAATACATTAAAAGGAACTGGAAATTCAATGAAAGTCGAAGAAAACCTTGGAATATTTACTCAGCTGGATTATCAGTAATCAGGCTGACGACTGTTATATCTTTAGAAATGTAACGACGAATATATGAAGAGTTCCATTAATGGAGATAATTACAAAGGTCTTTTATTTTCACAGTGCATCTTAGCAGTTAAGTTCAGAACTTGTGGAAGTAAGGATTGTAACTCGTTGGAACATTTGCCATGGATATAGCAATAGCGAGTCTTGCAATGTTTCATCTAATAGTTTATATTTTATTTGGGAGTAGGTCCGATATGATGACGCTGATGCTTCAGATCTACAAGAATGGATTCAGTTGCCTGATTCGACTATCTTCGTCCGCCAATCAACCTTCGTAGCAAAAACGGGAAAATGTAATATAATCGTTGTGGCAAAGCTGTTGAATTATTAAATATTCCTCATAATTATTATCAGGTTGGTCTGAACATTGTGGAGAAAACAATAAGGATATTGGAGGTTTTCGAAAGTGTCTTCAATGTATATTTTCTCTTTGGGTAAGTATCAGGGCTGCAGATCCTTTGTGCTCTTAAATATAATCCATTTGCATTAAAAAAACAAAAAACGAAAAAATCCAAGAACATCACTTACTCCCTTTCGTTTATTAGACATTGAATTGTATCACTTCGCGTCCTCCATAGCTTGCCTGACTTTTCGACCAATCAGATGAATATTTATGAGCGTTCTTAAATTTAAAAATTCGTGTCGGCTAAGATAAGTTTTTTCTCTTTATTCATATTGTCCTTTAGCATATATAATCAATCTGAATACACTCACGCCCATTTTATGCAAACACACACGTGTGTGTGTGTGTGTGTGAGTGTGTGTGTGTGTGTGTGTGTGTGGAAAGAGAAAATAGGAAAAGAGTGAGATAGAGAAAGAGAGAGAAGTTAAAGTGATTTCATATGCATATTTCGTAGTTCAGATTCAAACTTAACACATGATTCAGTGTTCTTGGATATAATCATTTGGTTCTTATTAGATTATTGACTTAGTTGTTAGGCGAAAAGGGGGTAAAAATAGATTAATCAGCCTCAATCCAACATTTTCCGTTGTTCTTCGTTCGGATGTTTGTTTATCTCTAAAGACTTCCTGAAGAAGCCATTCAGATCTAAAAGTGAATATAAGATGTAAGAGAGCTTAAGGCTAAAGCGCTATATATATATATATATATATATATATACCGTTCACACCTTTGGGACATTCCTTTCCTCTGTGTTACAGACGTTGGTGGTTCTTAATGTTTTCTTTTGAAAACCCAAAACAAAGACAATTCAATGCGTTCCATTCGTTTATGGCAACTCTGTTACTGCTTTCGAGGAACAAGCAAAACGTAGAGTAAAACCACCGACATTTTGACTGAGAAATCATTACAAAAACGGGATTTTGTCTTGGCGTTATTTCTGTAACAACCCAGTGTTTCAGGTCAAGCGGAATCTCCAGCTCATCAATTCAGATCTTTTTCGTGGTGTTACTAAATGACAAAATGTAATTAATGGCTTATTTTTGGAGATATTTTGAATTGTTTCTTTTCTTTTTTTTCATAGAATATCGGTATCCATGACAGAAAAGCGACTAACTTAGATACAAACAATTAGCTAATTCAGTGAATATATATATATATATATATATATATATATATATATATATATATATATATATATATATTATGAAATGGACAAAGTCCGACAATTATTTTCAGCCTGAATGTCGGAGAAATTTTCAGAGAAAATATTCCTCCTCCGACAGGAATCGAATCGGTATCCGTCATTTAGCTCGATCGGTTAAGGGACGTGAATCAGGCCTGGCCATTGCGTCTAGCATGAAACAGTCTGTCGCCTCTGAGTATTGACTTCAATGTACACTTTTATATTTACATACGCTCTGATATTGAGCACTTTATCCAATAATTATAGCACTCCTTAAAACCATATTTCATCACACACACACACACACACACACACACATATATATATATATGTGTGTGTGTGTGTGCATGTGTGTATGTGTGTGTATTTTTGTGTGTGTGTTATTATCAAATTTGTGTCGATTAATTTTAATGATTGACTTTTCAAAATTAACAAAACAAAAAAACACCAGAAATCACTCTCCGCTTACATCACAACATTCACTTGTTCTATGAACCTCATCATTTTTCTCTATCTACCAATCTGGTCCTAGCTTTTAACATTCTTTAGTCATTCTAAGAATGACTTGAGAAGGCAAAAGTAGAAACGACCTGTGGGATGCTTTTGTCTATTGGATAAAAAAACAATCCTTTTCACAGTGTGTGCGAGGACCATTTATTATAATCTTGCACCATATTCAAGTTTTCTGTTACTTTTATCCATATTGTTTCTTCAGAATTTTAGTAATAATGTCTCTCCATAACTTCCTACAAATTTATAGATCTGAGCAATACTTTTTCTCATACTAACCCACCCAGTGCTTTCCATTTATACAAGCTCATCAGATAAGTTATTCTCTGATGCCCTATCATCAGGCATATATTGAGGGCAAAAGGGCCTCTTACACCCGATATATTTCCAGTGAGTGTCAAATTCACAAAATTCACATTATCAGTTTCAGGAATTTCAATTTTTCAATTTTAATTCTATGAAAAAAAAACACTTTTTGTTTCGTAATTTCCATGAAACATACTCGTTGCTCATTTGGCTCGTCAATGATATTCTCAGTATCCTTCTGTAGAAACATGTCTCTGTTGTTTCAAGGCTTCTCTTCATCTTTGAGGAACTTTCCCAGCCTACATTGCCATATCGAAGAACTTATATTACCTACAATATTTTGGAAGCATGTATTAAAATCACTTAAAACTTTACAGATTCGCGTCACGAGGCAAAGTTACACAGAATTTTACACGATATTTAAAATAATAGCGTTGTATTGAAATTTACAATAGCTTTTTTAAAAAGCGATAATTAAAAGAACGGTAAACTTATTGGAATTTTGCAGTTTAATTAAAAAAATAATCAGTTATAAAATGCAATAATAATTTCATATAACTTTCAAAATTCGAATTTCTTGTCTCAGATTTCCTTTACGTATCTAAGTATTTAACTCCTCTTTCTTCTTTTTATTGATGAGAAAACATTGTGGTTGAGGGTTTTACATCGTAGATGATAACTGATAAAGATAAGAGAAACTTATGTGTAACGCGAACGATCGAGAGTCCCTGGGGTGGTGGAGATTTTTTTTCAGAATCAGTTTATCTTTGTTCATGAAAAAGTTACGGTTGATAGTGTTGAATTTCAAGGAGTTATGCATAAGGATGTTGAGATGGACATTTACGGGGAAAAAATCATCCTAATTCTCTGTGGTCTTTTCAAACGCAAAGGTAAGCAGAATATATATATATATATATATATATATATATAGAGAGAGAGAGAGAGAGAGAGAGAAATAAAGAGAGCAGCTCGAGTGTAAGAAAAGGAAAATTGGCAAGCAATAGCGAGAGTACTTGGAAGTAAGAAAGGAAGCTGGCGAGTAAGAAAAAGGCAGTGTTGGAGAGTAAGAAAGGAAAAGGTAGATAGTAAGGGAGAGTACTGGAAAGAGGGTTCGAGATGTTAAATGTTAAGGAGACCTAGAAGGAACAAAACAGAAAGCTGTATAGTAAGAGAGAGAGAGAGAGAGAGAGAGAGAGAGAGAGAGAAAGAAAGAGAGAGAGAGAGTGCTGAGAAGAAAGAAAGAAAGGTGGAAAGTAAGAAAGAGACAGTACTGGAGAGTAAGAATTAGAAAGCTAGATAACAAAAGCGTGTATTGGAAAGAGTGTTCGAAATTAAAAAAAGACGGAAAGCGAGAGAAAATTTTAGAGAGAGCTGGAAAAAAACAGAAAGCTGGATAGTAAGAGAGAGTGACAGAGAGTAAAAAAAAGAGGTGAAGAAAGAAAATGAACTGGAAAGTAAGAACGAAGGTAGGGTATTGAGAGAGAAAGAAATGAGTTGAAGTGCAAGAATGAGACAAGAGATAATACTGCCGAATAAGAGTGACAGTTGGATAGAGAGCAAGTAGCGGCATGTACTGGAGAGTAAGGACGTTGGAGAGAGAAGGGAAGTTCTTGAGTAAAAGAGTTGGAGAGCAAAAGAGAGAGAAAAAGATTGAGAAAAAGCTGGATATTGAGAGAGCGTGAGAATGGTTGAGGATAAGACAGAACGTCTAAAGGAGAGTAAGAGAAATTACTAGAGGGAGAAAAGTGGAAATTAACAAATAGAGTAAGAAAGAGTGAAAACTGGAGATTAACTCTCTAAAAAAAGAAAGAGCTGGAGTGTAAGAGAAATGGTGAGAGAGTGTGAGCGAGAGCGAGGGAGCTAGAGAGTAACAAAGAGAGAGTTTTGTATTGAAACGTAGAGAGTGAGAAAAAGATATAGGTGGAGAGTGAAAGAAAGTGAGAGAGAAAATGCGGGAGTATCTGTTGGAGAGTAATAGTGAGATGGTGTTTAGAAGAGAGAAAGAGAGTGAGATACTGCTTGTCAGTAAGGTCGCTAAAAAGAGAGAATGAAGGAAGGAACGAGAGAGAGAGAGAGAGAGAGAGAGAAAGAGAAATTGAGAGTAAGAGAGACTGGTGATAATTTGTGCTTTTTGTTGAGAATAGGGGAGCAGAAGTTTAAGAGTAAAGGAAATAATCTAAAATTGAACTGGAAATTTAAATAGAAGAGAATAAGTCTGGATTTGTCGAAAGACAATTCGTTTTTAAGATCTAATTTTCATTAAATACCTATTTTGAATAAGTTCTTCATTTAATACAAAAATGAACCTGAAATACAGAATCAGACACACAAACACAAACATGCAAAATCAAATAAACAGCATCTGGAAACCCATTTAAAATTAGACATAGATTCATCAGTATGCCCCCCCCCCAAACTTAATGGATAAAAGCATTTAATTGCACAAACCCTGAGAGCCAATAAAAGTAGAGATGAATTGGTACTAATGGATGAGGTTTTTATAAGGATGGAATAAAACGTAATAGGGAAAAAGGAGAATAAGGTATAAATAATAATAAATATATATATATATATATATATATATATATATATATATATATATATATATATATATATATATATATATATATATATATATTCAGATATATAAGAAAATAAGAAAAAACCGTTAGGTTAATAAGCCAAAGTTCTTTAGTATTTCTGTTATTCCAAAATTTCTTGAGAATGAAACAGACCTGGTTTTTAGCTTCTGATTTTGAAACACGAGAACTTTTCTAAAGCGATGGAATCATTTTTTAAAAAAATAATTATATATATATATATATATATATATATATATATATACAGGGTGGATCAAGATTAGTTTTACAGATTTTGGTGGTGGGTTCCTAAAAAAACAAGGATAAAAGTTCATATAAACATATGTCCGCAAATATATCGTTTTTAAGTTTAAAGAAAGCTTACGGTAAATGACACTGTTGCCATGTATACATTTATGGCTAGGCTGTTTTCATTGTTTAACGTGTGTAGTGGTAAATTAACTGAGAAATGTTCCGTTTAACAATGGCAGGATATTCATATCGTGAGCAGGCCGATATGATTTTTATATACGACCACACGAATGCTAATGGCCTTGAGGCTACACGGCTGTATCAGATTGCGTTACCAGACCGAATGCTGCCGAGTGATTCAACATTTAATGCTCTTTATCATCGCATTGCTGTGACAGGATCCGTGACACCATACACCGTGGATCGAGGAAGACAGAGATTTGCTCGTACGCCTCATGAAGATCATATTATGCAGGCTGTCGAAAACGATCCGAGTGTCAGCACACGTCAAGTGACCCTAACATGACGTATCTCATACTACCCCTTGGGGATACTCCAAGAGAAAATCCTGTATCCGTATCATTTGCAATGTGTGCAAGTTTTTCGCCATCTAATCACTTACCACGGGAGAACGATGGATTATTGCACAAAGTTCGGGCCCGTCAGTCTTGCTTACGGATGAATCAACATTTACAAGTAATGGCTGACATATACCATAATAAATTTACACAATCAACATTTGTGGTCGGATCAGAATCCCCATAATCCACACATTAATGTGTGGTCTAGAATTGTAGGTGACTGACATGTAGGTGCATATGTTCTTACATATCTTATGTACTTAAATCTTACAGGTGTGTCTACAGGGACTTTATTTTGAACTCGCTTCCAGGCTTGTTAGAGGATGTATCCCTGCTAATACGAAGACGCATGTGGTTCATGCATGATGGCGCTGCAGCGCATTTTAGTCATATGGTACACGATCCAATGGCTGATATATACCATGAACGAAGAAATTGCAGACAAGTTTATATGGACTATTTTCCTTGTTTTGTGTTCAGAACCCACCCCTAAAGTTTCGAAAACTATTTTGATAAACCTTGTGTTTTTATATATATATATATATATATATATATATATATATATATATATATATATATATATATAAACACTAATATTCCATGGTTATAATTTATTAAATTTGAATCGTAATTACGATCCAATTCATCAGACCCATAAATTCAAAAAGAAATCAGAAAAAATAACCGGGGATAAAAATAAAATTTAGTGAGAGTGTAAGTATGAATGAGAGTGGGGAAATTAATGGATTTCATTTTTAATAGACAAATTTTTATAATTTCAAAGTTATTTTAGTGGATACTCGTTTTTTAGTAGATTTTCTGGTTATTTTAAACTAATGAGCTTGCGTTTTCACTTGCAGGAGAAACAGCTGACTCTCTCTTGCCGCTCGGCCACGACGATCTTCAAAATGCTGCAACGTTTCAATTTGCTTTTAAAGCACACTCATTCTTTCAGATCTTTCTCGAAACGCATTTCTGCTCAGTTTCGATTGCCAAACGTAAATACAGGGATTTCTAAAGAATTAAGGAATTTCATTTTATTTTATTTTTATTTATTTTTTATTTTTTTTGAGAGAGAGAATTTTGTTGCTGAGCGATGAAAACAACGCCAATTCAGGCGGTGGTTCTTCTTGCAAAGGGAGACACGGGTTCAATGCTCGAGTACGCAACCTGTAGACGAAGTAAATACTGTTTTAAATAAACGAGGCGTCTACTGAAATACAGGTATCCACTACAAATAAAGTTTGAAGTAATATGTGTCTGTCTGTTTCGGCCTCTGTTCTGTCGCTGTCTGTCTGTCTCTTTCCCTGTCTCTGTCTCCCTCACTTTTCTTTCCTCTCTCTCTCTCTCTCTCTCTATATATATATATATATATATATATATATATATATATATATATATATATATATATATATATGGGAAATGAGAAAGAAAGAGATAATGTTCATTGAAATAATGTTTGTAGAGAATTTTTATTTTATTGTTTATTCTGTTTTTAATTTTCGAAACATTTGCTGTATGTTTAAATAAAATCGATAAACCGTCCTAAATTTACGTCTTTATTTATTTATTTTTTTTTGGTATAATTTCTATCGTTTCTGCTAATTTCAAGAATTATTATTTGTTTGATTATCTTATTTATTAGCTTCTTTTGATCATAAACATTCACTTGCAACATTAATAAACGTTTTGTGTGCTCAATTCTGGAATTTTTACTAAACCTTTCTAATAATTTGACACGCTCAAATCACTGTGCTGATAACAAATTTGGCGCCAGTTTGTTTACTTTGCGCAGATCAGTACGAAAATTTCAGTGATTGCGCAGGTCAGTGTTACCAACAATGTGAAAATTTTGTGTGAATTGATTGGGCGGTTTTTGAAATATTAGAAAAAAGTTATCTTGATAATAATTTGGCACGTATATATATATATATATATATATATATATATATATATATATATATATATATATATATATGTGTGTGTGTGTGTGTGGGGAGGCCTAATATAATGTATGCAGAGGAGTGGAAAAGATAGGAGACAGTATTTTAATATTATATTTTTTTTTTTATTATAAAGCTTCTTTAGACATGCGCATTGCAGTTGTTAAATATTACGCTGATATACACAGATTTCTGGCGCGAAGCTAAACTTAATACAAATAATCTTATTTGAGAAGAAATCAAGAAAACATTCGGTACAAAAAACGAAATTAGGCCCAACATTACTGAATGATGCAACAAGGTGTTATAAAAAACAATGGAATTGAAACATAAAACAAAGAGAGAAACATAAAAAAATGGAATTGAAACATAAAAGAAAAAGACTGAATGAAATTAAAAATTAATAAAGTTTTTGCTGTTTTGATTGTACAAAATTTCGAGCCTTATTGATTAATGATTGCTGAGGATAGCCATGGAAAAAAAAAAAAATGTCCCACTGAACGAATATTTGCCTATTTGATAACATTGTTTCGTACACGAGGTAGAAAATCATGAATTACATACAAAATTGATATCTACTTGCTTATTTTGCGGGTATGCTCATCGGCGAGTATGTTTATCGATTTTTTTTGTAGCATACGCCTGATCAGACACATTCATGTTTATACAGTAGCCATATATATATATATATATATATATATATATATATATATATATATATATATATATATTGTGAGCGAAATTGGGTAGATGGAACACTCGAGGTCCGCCGATAGCTGTGCTAGCACAGAGCCACAAGTCATCGTGGTATGAGGGTTGAGCGTACGATTTTTTTCAAATTGTTGATCACGATAGATAACACGGTCTTTTCCCAGAAACTGTAAATAAGGTCTTTTTAGCATAGTTGCAGCATAAACACAGGTAGACTCTGTGTGTGTTGAATAAGCACAAGTGTGCCTGAGTGTGCCTCTGAAATTGGCTAGCAACCCTAGTAGACGAGTATCCTCGACTGCTTTATATATATATATATATATATATATATATATATATATATATATATATTATGATACTGAACTGAACCTACACAATAGACTCTTCCAGGTCTATATTAATTGTGCGACAAAACACTCTAGACAGAGTCACAGCGAGACAGTGAGAGTCTAGTACAACTACCAGTGTTGGACACTAACTTAGAGTAAGCTCCGCTTACACTATCTCTGTAACCTGTTGTTAATATATCTTTCTTATATCTAATCCGTGTTCCGTGTTTTACTTCTGTGGTCCCAACTTTGGCCCCACATCAGTGGCGACGAGATTCGAGAAACGCACTCACGGCGAAATACCTTACCAGTTCCAAATCTGTGTCGACGAAGAACTCGAGAGAAACGCATTCACGTCGAAAACCGCAATATTTTGCCAGTCCCACATTAGTGGCAACAGAAAGGTTCGAGAATTTCCCTCCCCCATATCAATAGCGATAGAGTACTGAAAAATACACATAACTCCACACGTTCCCACAGCAGTGTTGAACGAAAATTAAGCTGGTATTACTACATTAGCGATTTAAACGCAACACCCAGCGTCTACATATATAAAAAAGTATGTATGTATATTCCAATACCAAACATCAGTGACGAACTAGCACTGACATCTATGGAATATTAAAGTCTGTCCAAATAACATTATGAGAACGATTTTACACACTCACACAGCAAAAAAACCCAGAAGTACTACCATTGTACCCAAGTTTTCGAAG